ACCTTCGGCCCCTCGGGGTCCCCCTGGCATGCCACGTGTTGCCAGATGACTTGCATGGGCCATTCTGCACCTTAGTCTTCCCCTCCATCAAATGGGGGTGAACAGGGCCCTGATGTAGCAAGCTAAACCTCTGCTGCAGTACCAGCATCCTATATGGGCACCGGTTCAAGTCCCAGCTATCCTACTTCACATCCAGCTCCCTGCTAATAACGCAAGTGAAAAAGTAAAAGAAAGTGTCTCAAGTCTTTGGGTCCCTGCACCCAGGTGGGAGACTCAGGCCCTTCCAGCCCTGAACTGGCCCAGCTCCAGCCATGGTAGCCATTGGGGGGACCTCTCTGTCTCCTTCTCTCTGTGACTTTGCCTTCCAAACAAATAAACCGTTTTTTTAAAATCATGTTTTCAAGGTGAGCCTCCTCCCAGCACTGTCCTGTGGCATGACGCCTGCCTCCTCCCTCCCACACTGGGGACTGTCCCGGGGCCTGGGGGGGCACAACGGACAGTGTGTGCGTGTCTGTGTGTGGGGGTGTGTGTGTGGTGTGTGTGTGTGTGGTGTGTGTGTGTGTGGTGTGGTGTGTGGTGTGTGGTGTGTGGTGTGGGTGTGTGTGTGTGGTGTGGGGGTGTGTGTGGTGTGGGTTTGTGTGTGTGGTGTGGTGTGGGTGTGGTGTGAGTGTGTCTGGTGTGTGTGGTGTGAGTGTGTCTGGTGTGTGTGGTGTGGTGTGTGTGTGTGGTGTGGGGTGTGTGGTGTGAGTGTGTCTGGTGTGTGTGGTGTGGTGTGTGTGTGGTGTGTGTGTGTGGTGTGTGAGTGTGTGTGTAGTGTGTGTGTGTGGTGTGAGTGTGTCTGGTGTGTGTGGAGTGTGTCTGGTGTGTGTGGTGTGTGTGGTGTGTGTGTGGTGTGGGGGTGTGTGTGGTGTGTGTGTGGTGTGGGGTGTGTGGTGTGAGTGTGTCTGGTGTGTGTGGTGTGGTGTGTGTGTGTGTGTGTGTGTAGTGTGTGTGTGGTGTGAGTGTGTCTGGTGTGTGTGGTGTGAGTGTGTCTGGTGTGTGTGGTGTGGTGTGTGTGTGTGGTGTGGGGTGTGTGGTGTGAGTGTGTCTGGTGTGTGTGGTGTGGTGTGTGTGTGGTGTGTGTGTGTGGTGTGGGAGTGTGTGTGTAGTGTGTGTGTGTGTGGTGTGTGTGATGTGTGTGTGGGTGTGGTGTGTGGTGTGTGAGTGTGTGTGGTGTGAGTGTGTGTGTGTGTGGTGTGGTGTGTGTGTGGTGTGTGTGTGGTGTGTGTGTGTGGTGTGGCAGTGTGTGTGTAGTGTGTGTGGTGTGAGTGTGTCTGGTGTGTGTGGTGTGAGTGTGTGTGTGGTGTGGGAGTGTGTGTGTGTGGTGTGTGGTGTGTGTGGTGTGTGTGTGTGTGGTGTGTGTGTAGTGTGTGTGTAGTGTGTGTGTGGTGTGGTGTGTGTGGTGTGGTGTGTGTGGTGTGGTGTGTGTGTGTGGTGTGGTGTGTGTGTGGAGTGTGTGTGTGTGTGGTGTGGTGTGTGTGTGTGGTGTGGGAGTGTGTGTGGTGTGGTGTGTGTGGTGTGGTGTGTGTGTGTGGTGTGGGAGTGTGTGTGTGGAGTGTGGGTGTGTGTGGTGTGGTGTGGGTGTGTGTGGTGTGTGTGTGTGGTGTGGTGTGTGTGTGGAGTGTGTGTGTGTGTGGTGTGGTGTGTGTGTGGAGTGTGGGTGTGTGTGTGGAGTGTGTGTGGTGTGGTGTGTGTGTGTGGTGTGTGTGTGTGTGTGGTGTGTGTGTGTGGAGTGTGTGTGGTGTGGTGTGTGTGTGTGTGTGTGTGTGTGTGTGTGTGGTGTGGTGTGGGTGTGTGTGGTGTGGCAGTGTGTGTGGGAGGGATGTAGTATACAAGGTATGGACGTAATGTGTGTGTGCATACAGTGTGTGTGTGGTGTGCCTGGTTTGGTGTGTAGTGTGAGGTGTGACGTGTGTGGAATGAAGCGTGTGATGTGTGGAGGTGTGATGTGTGTGGGCGGGGGCAGCTGCCAGGCCACGGTGCTCAGCACAGCCCTGCTCCTCCCCACACTGGGGTGCACCCGCGGGGCGGGCATCAGGGACTCCCCTCTCCCTCCTTTGGGGACCAGGACTGGGGGATGAGGACAGGAGCAGTCCTGGCACCCCAGGGCCCTGTCATCTCACACGTGGCACGGCGGGGCTCTGGGAGGGTTCTGGGAGAGTCCTGGGGTCCCCCGGGGCCAGGGCAACGAGGGGGCGGGGCCTTGCCTCTGTGGGGCGGGGCCTCTGCGGGGGCGGGGCTCTGTGGGGCGGGGCCAGCGGGCGGTGTCCACACCCACAGGGTCAGCAGGATGTTCCGTGGGCAGCAGGTGCTTCTGGGAGAAATCCCACCAGGACCCTCGGCTGGAGACGGGGCCAGCTCTGACCTCGCGCAGCTGAGAAGGGGCTGCTCCCCAAAAATATTAATTCATCATCGTCCGCCCTCCATCAACTCGTCAGGGCCTCGGTAGTGGCCACCTGCGGCCCGATCACTGTCACAGCGGCTCACCTGCAGGGCAGCGTCCAGCAGGCTGGAGAGAGCAAAGCCCGTGTTTTCCTTCCGCATGGAGATCGCGCTGAGCAGGCTGCTCAGGACAACAGCGCTCTGGGGAGGGCGAGGGCTCAGCACGCCGTTTCGGCTGGAAATCCCTGAAGCCGAGGGCCTGCCCTGGGTGCCCTGGGTGCCCTGGGTGCCGGCAGGGAGTGCAGGTGGCAGCTGTTACAGGGCCCACGGCTCACTTCTACGGTCTGACTTTCGATTGGAGAATGCCACTGCGTTAGGACAAGGGAGTCCTTGAGGAGCTGACCGCAAAGCAGAGGGGGTCCCCCATCAGGCCTGGCCCCCCTCACTTGGGTGCCTGCCAATGAGCACCCAGGGCCAGCAGGTGCAAAACCTGGATGGAGCTCCCAGCACAAGCACTTGGCGACTGACCCAGAGGTCACCCTCTAGTCCACCAAGGCTGCAAGGAGAGCCACCTCCGGGGGGGGTTCACCCTCTAGGGGCGTGCCATGAGGCTGAGGGTGCTGGCTCTGGAACCTGCCCAGGCTCACACCCTGGCCCTTGGGCCACTTAGTGCACCTCTCTGAGTCCGCTTCAGCCCCGTGAGCCGCCGTGACGTCACGAACAGCTGTGTGGCGTGAGGGCAGCCCTGGGTCCATACTAGGGAGGTGGAGGACTCCCAGACCAGTGCGGCTGAGGGCCAGAGGTGGCTGTGAACTTAGGCAAGGTGGCTGCCCTCAGACGGGGGCCTGGAGACGTCAGTACCGAATGCCAGCTAGGCCTGAAGACCCTGGCGGGTGTCAGGGCCCCGAGATAACGCTGCTCTTCAGGAATCGCATACCAGTGTGGCAAGAGGGACAGAGGCACCCCATGCACCCTGGCTGGGGACAGACTGACAAACAGCAACTTGGGCCTGGTGCAGTAGCTTAGTGGCTAAGGCAAGGATGCGCCAGGACCCCATATGGGTTCTGGTTCTAATCTTAGCAGCCCCACTTCCCATCCAGCTCCCTGCTTGGTCTGGGAAAGCAGTCGAGGACAGCCCAGTTTTGGGACCCTGCACCCATGGGGGAGACATGAAAGAGGCTCCTGGCTCTGGTTCGGCTCAGCTCCAGCTGAGCTACTTGGGGAGTGAAGCAGATGGAAGATCCTTCTCACAGTGGATGGCAATGCAGCCAGGGGCGGAGTGGGGCTGGCCAGCTCATCTTGTCAGAATGCCAGCAGGGCGGGGGTAGGGGCAGCGGTGTTTGGAGGCGCACACTGTGTCCTGTCCGACCAGCAGGGTGCCCCAGTAGGGCTGGGACAAGCCATCTCCAGGACCACCCACCCACCCCACCAGGGAGACCCTGAATCGCGGTGGCCAGGCGTTCCTCGGCACACAGCAGGCGGATCCGGCAGGGCTGGGGCCAGAGCTCACCCTGGGCAGCGCCGCCATGCATGGCCACCTCGGCTCTCCTGAGCCGCCCACAGGAGCCGCTGCTGCCGCGTGGGGAACGGGATGCTTCCTGCTTCTCGCTGCAGCATGTGCCTGGTGAAGCAGTGACAGAAAGGCAGAGGACTCTGCGACACTGCAGTGACACCAAGGCCTTTGTCTCTCACAGACCTCGACAGGGAAGCCTGACCCCGTGGGCGGGGCTGGTGCAGGCCGCCAGGGTGACCGACCACACGCCCCAAACGCAGCTGTGCGGGGCCCGCCCTGTGCCAAGTCCACGCGGGAACTGAAGCTGCTTCTCTAAGCTGTAACAGCAGAAACGAGCCCTCTACTTCGACACAAGCAAAACCACTTTTTTTTTCTTTAAATATTTATTTTTCTTGGAAAGGTAGATATACAGAGAGGAGAGATGTTTTGTCCACTGGTTCATTCTCCAAGTAGCTGCAATGGCCAGAAGCTGAGCTTCTTCCAGGTCTCCGACGCGGGTGCAGGGTCCCAAGTCCCTGGGCCGTCCTCGACCGCTTCCCCAGGCCACAGGCAGGGAGCTGGATGGGAAGTGGAGCTTCCGGGACACGCACTGGTGCCCCTATGGGATGCCAGTGTTTGCAGGCGGAGGATTAGCTAACTGAGGCATCGTGCTGGCTCCACCGGCAAAACCATCTCCCCCAAAGGCGAGTTCTCCAGTCCACTTGTTAAATGAGTTTATTTCTTGGCTCATGGGAGTTGCCACAGGACAGGTCAATTACCAGCACTGGGTGTTCCCCACAGCAAGCAGCAGAGGCCAGCCCACTGTGAGCAGAGGGGATGGCCCCAGGGCTCCCACGCACCCCATGCCACCCGCCAGCCCCAATCCCTGCCTGTGGTCTCACCTGCCAGGTTCATGCTCACAGGAGCAAAAACCAGCCGAGACAGAGGACAGCCACGAGGCCAGCAGCACTAGCTACGGCAGAAGGGCCTCGGACCACGCCCGGGAGAGGGCTGCCAGCCAGCAGCGGGCCCAGCACTGCCTGTTCCCAGCCCCACACCACACTCGGGGCAGCAGAGGCCAAGAGCAGCTGTCCAGGGCCAGTGCAGCAGGCAGCACCGAGAGCCGGGCGGTGCTTCCCGCAGCCGGCTCCCGCGACCTGGTCTCACTGCAGGGTGGCCAGCTGCTCGATGGCCACACGCACCTTCTTGGCCATCTCCTCAAACTCCTTCTGCTTGCTGCCGGTCTCCTTGGCCTGCAAGTGAAGAGCAGGCAGGGGTGTGACCACGCGAGCAGGCAGGCCACGGGCAGGGGTGTCCACAGGCCACAGGTGGCTCCACCCCGACCCGCTCGAGGGACCCGTTTCAGGGACTGCCCCTGACATACTGGGAAAGGCTCTCCCCTCCTCTGGGGTGTCCCCCAGACGCCTTCCCCAAACCGAAGCACTCTGGGCAGGCCTTAGTGGGGTAGGGAACTACAGTCCGGGCAGCACCGGCTGCTGCCTGCTTACCACCGGAAGCTGGCACCAAGCAGGTGTCAACCCCAGGCCCTCTGATGTGCACGTGGCCAGCAGACCTGCCGGGCCGATGTCCACTCCCCGACCTCTGCATGACCCGCTGAGAACATTCTGTCCGACGGGCCAAAGCAGCACAGTGAGCAGGCAGGCTCCCGCTCCCGTCCACACTGCCTCGCCTCACCTTGGCTGCCACACGACAAAACAAACCCTTTTTGGGTTAAATGTGCTTCTACTAAGAACACTAACAGAAGCTAACTTTTTAACTTTTTAAATTGGAAAGTCAGATTTACAGAGAGAAGGAGAGACAGAGAGGAAGATCTTCCATCCATTGGTCCACTCCCCAAGTGACCCCAACGGCCAGAACTGCGCTAATCCGAAGCCAGGAGCCAGGAGCCTCTTCTGGGTCTCCCACACAGGTGCAGGGTCCCAAGGCTTTGGGCCGTCCTCGACTGCTTTTCCAGGCCACAAGCAGGCAGCTGGATGGGAAGGAGGCTGCGGGGATTAGAACCGGCGCCCACATGGGATCGCGGTGCGTGCAAGGCGAACACGCCAGGCTCAGTCTCTCACACACCAAGGTTTTATGACCTCGTTGATGTTCTCCAGGTTGGTTCTTAACCATTTCCTTGTTTCGACAGCCAGAGGAATGAATGCAGCAGCTGGAATTAGAATCCCAGGGCGAGGTACACCCCAGGGAGACCCCAACACAGGATCACGGCGCACGACGGCGGCACACGACTGCACTGCCTGTTTCCGCTGCTGCCGCCACACGCCCCACGGCGTGGCAGTGGGACGGGACGGTTCCTGACCTTATCCACTTACCCACCTGCCCACGAGACCCCCAGGCCAGACCAACTCAGGAATTTGAACAGCCACCGGAGACACTGCCTATGGTGCTAGAGGCCTCACCACCTGCCCCTCCGGAGCCTGCTTGGCTGGACAGGTCAGCGCTTCCTGCAGGGGCCCGCACGGTGGCACAGCGCATCACACCACCGCCTGCGACTCGGCCATCCCACACGAGCAGTGGAAGACGGAGTGTTTGGTCCCTGCCACCCACAGGCGAGACCCGGATGAATCTCTGGCTCCCGGCTTCGGCCCAGTCCAGCCCCGGGCCGCTGTGGCCTTGTGGGGGGGAGCCAGCGGGTTACAGGGCTTTGGGTCTTCCTCTCTCTGTAATTCTTTTCCAATAGATAAAGTCAATCTTACATATATTATTATATGAAACCAGGTCAATAAATCAATGTTGGGAAAAGCTCGGCTGCAGGACAGGCCTGCCACCTCTCCCTACACGCCCTCTGCCCACACAAGCACACGGCTTGGACGTGCCCTCTGGGCGGATGTTCCCAAAGCAGGAAGACAGCCCTACCCGTCCCACCCCCTGTGGGACCAAGGGACACCCCCAACACCGTTAGGGAACACGCCGTTCCGACGTCATGCTCAGAAACCACTGGGGAGCCCCGGAGAATCTCGGGGGGCAGGCAAACGCTTCCTGTGGCTCGCCTCGTGCCCCCTGGCAAGGGACTTCAGGGTGCCGCCCTGGGAGGCCCTGGCAGCTGCCGTACCGGCCATATCCCACAGCAGAGCCAGGAGGATGGCACCCCGGGCTTCGGCCTGCCAGCCGAGGGCGGCGGCCATCTGGGGGAACGGTCGGCACACAAATCTCTCTCCCTCTTGCTCCCTTAATAAATCGTAAACAGAGGAGAGGCCTGCCCCCTGGTGGGGTGGCATTTAGGGGCAGATGCTGGTTGGAAGCACCCGGGCTGCTGACTGGATCTGACCCCAGCTTCCTGTCGGCCTGCACCCAGGAACAGCAGGGTGTGGCTCAAGCCTGCACCCCTGCCACCCCACGGGAGACCTGGCAGCACGCTGGGTTCCGGGCCTGCTCCAGCTGGCTGTCGCCGGCATCTGGGCAGTGAACCAGCAGAGGCGAGATCTTGGTCTCTTCCAAAAAAATGAGAATAAATAGGAAACCTCTATCGATGCTCTCTGGGGAAAACAGCGCCCTCTGGTGCCTTGCACGGGGCGGGTCACTGGGGGCAGCTTCAGAATCCCTTATTCAAGATGTCTGCCACCAAAAGCCTTCCAGGTTTGGCAAGGTTTGTTTGTAAGAGTGAGCTACGGGGGCCCGGCGCGGTGGCGCAGTGGTTAAGGTCCTCGCCTTGCACGCCCGGGATCCCATATGGGCGCCGGTTTTATCCCGGCAGCCCCGCTTCCCTTCCAGCTCCCTGCCTGTGGCCTGGGAAAGCAGTCGAGGACGGCCCAAAGCTTTGGGACCCTGCACCCGCATGGGAGACCCGGAAGAGGCTCCTGGCTTTGGATTAGCTCCGGCCGTTGCGCTCACTTGGGGAGTGAACCATTGGACAAGCTCTTCCTCTCTGTCTCTCCTCTCTGTATATCTGCCTTTCCAAAAAAAAAAAAAGAGTGAGCTACGGTGAGGACGTGGCCTGGCCTCTGCAGCATGCACGTGGGGCTGCAGCTGGCTCTCCCCAGCACATCCTGGGCAGTTCATCAGAGTCAGGCGTGTCCCCATCAGCCCGACCGCGCCACGTGCCCCGCTCCCATGAATACGTACGATCTTGTTCTTGGCTCGCTCTTTGTCCAGTTTCAAAAATTCACTCAGGGTTAGTTCCTCAAGCCGCTTCTTGATGGAGAGAAACGCACAGCTGGATGAGTGCTTCCTGTGTTCCTCACTGCGGAAGCAAGCACGGGGGTCACCAGAGGGTAGGTGGGGGCCGGGCCAGCTCCCAGGGCACCCTCCCCAGCCGAGATGTCACGGGGACGCCCAGCCCCATACCAGGTGGCCATGGCCAGCTCCCAGGGCATCCTGGCCCAGCTGAGATGCCATGGGGACGCCCGGCCCTGTACCAGGGGGCCGGGCCAGCTCCCAGGGCACATCCCACCACCCAAGGTGTCACAGGGATGCCCAGCCCCATACCAGGGGGCCATGGCCAGCTCCCAGGGCATCCTGGCCCAGCTGAGATGCCACAGGGACACCCGGCCCTGTACCAGGGGGCCATGGCCAGCTCCCCTGCCCCCGCTGATGAGCACCTGGGAGGCAGCGGGTCACGGCTCAAGTGCTTGGGTCCTTGTCACCCACTTTGAGATCTCCCAGCTTCTGGCCCAGCCCTGGTATTTGGGCAGTGACACAGGGGATGGGGGATCATTTCAAACAAACAAACAAAAAAGAAGACAGAAGGGCAGTGTGGAGCCCAGGGCAGGAGGCCTTGGCGCTGGGTCCCTGGCTGCGGGACCCGTCTCCGCACCCTCCTGTCCCACAGTAACATCTGGAGGGTGTTATAGAGCAGACAGGCAGGACAGGCAACCCCTCCGCGACCCTCAAGACACTGCCTAGGACACCTTGAGTCCACCAGCCCCTGGGACTCCCGCCCTGCAGGCCCCACACTCCGCAGAGTCCCCAGCGGTAAGGAGCAGCCCAGCCACTGACGCCCGGAACTGAGGGGATGACAGGAAGCTGCTCCCTGCGGGCAGGGGTGGCCACACACCTCCCACCCTGAGGGGGACGGCCACCCTGCGGGGAGGGACCCATCACACTCAGCACAGGAAGCGCTCAGCCACAGTGCCAGGGCAGAAAATCCAAGCTGTGGACGCCACAGCCTGACAGGACGCCAGGGAGGACCGGGTTACGGAGACCACACGCTGCCAGAGGGCTTCCTCGCTGCTTCTGTTAACCTGCCCTTCCAGCAAAAACAATCTTCAAAAAAATAAAACAAAACCCTCATCAGAAGCACTTACACCCCTAGAAGGACCCCTCTTCTGATCGGATGCGCCCGGGGCCCCACAGGTGCTGGCCCCATCTGCAGCAGCTACGGGCGGCTGGGCAGACTAGTCTCGCCGAGGGGGGTGTCTGGGACACCCCCAAACCCAGTCAGACTCCCGGGAAGGAGCACTCACATGGGGTCGTCGTCCGGCTCCCAGCCCTCCAGCTCCTTGAAGCAAAAGAAACACTGCGCCAAGTCGGGCTCGTTCTCCGTTGGGCAGTGGATGAAGCCAGCCTCAGCCATCTGCAGGGGACAGCGTGGAGGGTCAGCGGGGGGAGGGTTAGGGTCAGCGAGGGGGAGGGTTAGGGTCAGCGGGGGAAGGGTTAGGGTCAGCGGGGGAAGGGTTAGGGTCAGCGGGGGGCAGGGTTAGGGTCAGCGGGGGAAGGGTTAGGGTCAGCGGGGGGCAGGGTTAGGGTCAGTCCTGGGCAGCAGGGTTAGGGTCAGCGGGGCGGCAGGGTTAGGGTCAGTCCTGGGCGGCAGGGTTAGGGTCAGCGGGGGGAGGGTTAGGGTCAGCGGGGGGAGGGTTAGGGTCAGCGGGGGACAGGGTTAGGGTCAGTCCTGGGCAGCAGGGTTAGGGTCAGCGGGGGGCGGCAGGGTTAGGGTCAGCGGGGGGCAGGGTTAGGGTCAGCGGGGGACAGGGTTAGGGTCAGTCCTGGGCAGCAGGGTTAGGGTCAGCGGGGGGCAGGGTTAGGGTCAGTCCTGGGCAGCAGGGTTAGGATCAGCGGGGCAGCAGGGTTAGGGTCAGTCCTGGGCGGCAGGGTTAGGGTCAGCGGGGGGCAGGGTTAGGGTCAGTCCTGGGCAGCAGGGTTAGGGTCAGTCCTGGGCAGCAGGGTTAGGGTCAGCGGGGGGCGGCAGGGTTAGGGTCAGCGGGGGGCAGGGTTAGGGTCAGCGGGGGACAGGGTTAGGGTCAGTCCTGGGCAGCAGGGTTAGGGTCAGCGGGGGACAGGGTTAGGATCAGCGGGGCAGCAGGGTCAGCGGGGTCGGAGGACGGCAGCCCGGGTGGGAAGACCTGGGAGGCCGATCCCGAACGACGGACGAAGGGCCGGCTTACCCGCTCCGGGGTGCAGGCGCAGCCCTCCAGGAAGGGCCAGTTCTTGAACGTGGAGATGCGGTGGTCCTTCAGGTACAGCTGCCAAGCCCGGGGCAACGACTGCCCGGCCGCGGACGCCGCCATCGCTGCTGAGATTCAAATCCGGCAATTCAGGCGCGCCGCGGCGCATGTCGGGAACGTCCCGCCCCCGGCCGCGCGGCCTGCTGGGAAAGCGAGTCCTCGGGGACGGCGGCGGCCGCGGGGCGTGCTGGGAGAGAGGGCACCTGAGGGGAATGCCAACCTCCGGCCGCTAGGTGTCGCCCTAAGAAAACCAGGGGAGACAAAGAGGTCTTTTCATCTGGTGGCTCATTTCCCAAAAGGCTACAACAGCTGAGAGTGGGCCAGGATGAAGCAAGGAGCTTACTCCAGATCTCCTATGGGTGCCGGTTCCCACGGACTTTGATAGCCATCCTCTGCTGCTTTCCCAGGTACAATGGCAGGGAGCTGGATGGGAAGTGGAACAGCTGGGACTCGAACTGGGGCCCTTACAGTACTACAGGAAGCAGCTTAACTTGCTATGCCACAGCGCCAGCCTCAGGATGGCTCCAATTCGCTCTTGCCAAGGCCGTGTGACTCTGTTAGGGATGTCAGCTCTTCACCTGTCCGTGTGTCTGTGTTTGCAGGCAGGAAAGCTGAGGTGTGCCACGAGATGTCCTCCCTGGGGCATCGGAGCAGGACCTGAACCAGCCTGTCCACCTCCCATGCAGGGGTAGCTAACGCCAGGGCGGAAGTCCATATTTCCTGGGCTGCAAGTCCTGGCCCCACGTTGTCTGGTGGTTCTCCCCCGTCCCGTTGTTTTTCATTCCGTCGTGGAATGCCTCTCGTGCGGACTTCCTCTCACAGGCACACAGTCGCAGTTGTGTGTGTCTGCAGCCGCTGGCCAGGACCCCATGGTCTAATGGGGCTTTTGAATTCCTCGTCTCGCCAGGGCTGTGCCTGGGCCTGTGTGCGTCTGCGACCCCGTGTGCCTTGGGTTCCTTAAACTCACCCCCTCTCCTCCCGCTCCAGCCTAGGAACCCAGGAGCAAGGCGAGCCCTGGGGGAACAGCGGCTCACAGACCCCGTGCCTTCTTGAGCCCCAAGGTGCTGTGGGGAGGAGAGCTCCAGGGAAGCCCCCCCCCGATGGCATTGTGGCATTGTCACAAGGAGGAGTGGCGTGTGACAAGCCAGTGGGCAGCACCTGGCCAGCTGGCCAGGATAACTCCCAAGCTGCGGCTGGCGCCTGGATCTGGGCCGTGGCAGGCCTGCCTCCTGGGCTCTCGGGGTGGAGGGGCCTTCCGGCGTGCTGTTTAGGGTCAGGGTGGAGAGGCCTCCCTGGGGTTTCGGGGGCAAAGCCTTGGAGCCCTAGTGCCACGTGGACTTACACTTCATGATTCCCGGTGTGATGGCAGCAGCTGCCCAGCCCAGCTTGAATCCCCGTGTGGCTGGGCAAGGCCAAAGTTGGAGCCAGGAACTCCATCCGGGCCTCTGCCATGGATGGACGTGGCTGTGCCAGCTGCACGCCAGCGGGACTCCGAGCAGGCGCCCCGACACGGGGCGTGGCTGTGCCAGCTGCACGCCAGCGGGACTCCGAGCAGGCGCCCCGACACGGGACGTGGCTGTGACGGTTGAGCCACACAGCCACCTCAGCACGGGGGCAGTAGGGAGGAGTTAGCCTTCTGAGCTTGTGCAAGCTGAGGCACCACGGGCAGCAGCAGCTGTCACCAGATGGAAGGACTGCAGGGCCTGACTCCAGTCTCATCATGAACGGGACAGGGCGCTGAGGACCCGACTTCATTTCTCAGCTCAATGCACAGGAAAATTATGGGTCATTTTACAATAGACAGAAAATGAGAAGAGATGAAGGGATCACAGGGCCCGGCGTGACAGTGTAGTGGTTAAAATCCTCGCCTTGCACGCCCGGGATCCCATATGGGCGCCGCTTCTAATCCCAGCCTGGGAAAGGAGTCGAGGACGCCCCAGAGCCTTGGGACCCTGTACCCGCGTGGGAGACCTGGAAGAGGCGCCTGGCTCCTGCCTTCAAATCAGCACAGCTCTAGCCATTGCGGTCACTTGGGAAGTGAATCATCGGACAGAAGATCTTCCTCTCTGTCTCTGCTCCTCTCTGTATATCTGACTTTGTAATAAAGATAAATAAATGAAAAATAGTTTCTGCTTCCAAGATGATGCATAGAAGAATCCCGCTGTTGAGTTGTGTTTCTGCTGCCTGGATGTTCACGCTGCGGTCCTGACCCCTCCAGCAGCGGAAATGGTCAGCCTGGCAGACGCCCTCCCCCTTCTCTCCCCCACCCCACCCCGCCCGGCTTACTCAGTAACCCAGTCCAACACAGGCTGGCAGCTTACCTTCACCACTTGGCGGGTTCCCCAGGAGAGGGGGCCGAGCCATGGCTGGGGTTGTTTGTGGACCTGCCCACTCTCGCCACTCCCAGTTATTTCATGGATGACCAGCTGGGACACCCCGAGACTGAGGCAGAGATTGGGAACGTACACAGAGCCGAGGGCAGACCCACGGGCAAACAACGAGGCCTGAGACCTGCGCAGGCGCCCCTCACGAGACTTCCGAGCACAAACGGGGCCCCAGAATGCTGGGGCGGGGAGCACTTCTCTGCCTGCCTCTGGGGACAAGGCAGGGACCAGGCCCGCTCCCCCTTGGCCTTCTCAAAGCAGCGGGTCACAGGGAGTCCTGCGGCCTGGTCACTGAGGTCTGCTCCAAGATGACATTGGCCACCTCTGTTACAGTGGCGTGGGGGTGGACGTCCCTACTGAGCGTGGACGAAGGGCCCAAGGACACCGTCTGTGCTTTTAATTTGACAGGCACTTTATATTTTAAATTTTACTCATTTTAAAGACAGAGTTACACAAAGACAGTCTCATTCCTTAAGCAGCCACAATAGCCCGGGCTAGGTCAGGCCAACAAATAGCACTTTAAAACTGCTAGAATGGGGGCCTCATTGTGGCAAAGTGGTTACACTGCTGCGTGTGACACCAGCATCCCATGTGGGCGCCGGTTCTAATCCCAGCTGCTCCACTTCCCATTCAGCTCCCTGCTTGTGGCCTGGGAAAGCAGCAGAGGGCGGCCCAAGTGCTTAGGCCCTGCACGTGTGGGAGACCCCGAACAAGCCGCAGGCTTTGCCCTGACCCCGTGCTGGCTGCTGTGGTCGCTGTGCAGGGGGACCGGCAGATGTAAGATCTCTCCCTCTTAATTTATGACTCTGCTTTACAAACACTTTTTATTACTTATTTATTTATTCTTAAAGATTTCTTTATTTTTTAAAAGATTTATTAATTTTTATTAGGAAGTCAGATATACAGAGAGGAGCAGAGACAGAGAGGAAGATCTTCTGTCCGATGATTCACTCCCCAGGTGACAGCAACGGCCAGAGCTAAGCTGATTTGAAGGCAGGAGCCAGGCGCCTCTTCCAGGTCTCCCACGCGGGTGCAGGGTCCCAAGGCTCTGGGCCGTCCTCGACTGCTTTCCCGGGCCACAGGCAGGGGGCTGTATGGGAAGTGGAGCAGCTGGGACATGAACCGATGCACGCAAGGCGAGGACCTTAGCCACTAGGCTAAGCTGGTTGGGTAGATGGCTGTTCCCGAGGCTCCCTCCGCCCTGGGCTCTGTTCTCTTAGAGTGTGACTTTAGCGATGTGACACTGTGACTCACACAGGTTGTCAGAGAGCCATCAGGGCACAGGAAGAGCCAGGTTTGCACCCCAGTGGCAGCCAGAGGCCCTGCTGCACAGAGGCAGCTCTGGGCATCTCACAGCGTTGACCTGAGCTCATCTCAGGCTGCCAAAAGGGAGACCAAGAGGTTTGTGGGGGCCCCCCGCAGGACAGGCGTTCCTGGGTCAGGTGCTCGTGGGCAGCGTCCCGTGCCATCAGAACTTCTGGAACACTGTCTTCAGAATAACCTGCAGCAGGAATAAAAGGCCCCACGTGATCTCTTTCTCTGTCCCTGTCACTCTGCATTTCAAACAAATTAGTCTAAAAAAAAGTATCAATTTCCAAATTAGCCTGCCATAACTTTCCTTAATGCTGACACCACCTGCGGTTGCCTTGGCACGGCCCTTCAAGGCCCCACTGGCTGCAAGGCCCCCAGCCCTGGGCTGAAGTAGGCAGGCACTGGCTGAGATGCGTGCCACCTCAGAGCACCCGGCTGCTCCTGCTCGGGCTCGGCTCGGGCTCCGGCTCCGGCTCGGCTCCGGCTCGGCTCCGGCTCGGGCTCAGCTCCAGCTCGGCACTGGGAGGCAGTGGTGAACACCCAGGTGACTGGCTTCCTGCCACCCCCAAGGCAGGCCCGGGTTGTCTTCCCGGCTCCCGGCTTTGCTCTCTCACTAGGTCACCATCCACAGGCATCCGCGGTTCCAGCCAATGGGAGCTCTGCTGCCTCTCAGATACACATTGAAACAGGGAGTAGTGCCCAGGGTTGTGCAACGTTAAGTCAGGTTATACAAAGGACCTGAGCCCCGTGCAAGGAGCCCTGCGCCCAATCCTTCCCGGACAACAAGCAACACCCGCTGTCACTGGATTCCCCCTTTTGCGACCTGTCTCCTCTCCTTACCGAGCACCCACATTGCCCACCACCAGCGGGAGGACAAGACCCCCACCTGGGTGAGTGCATCGTCTTCCTGGGCCAGATTCTCGACGATTTCAAAGTGATCCACATTCTGGAGCTCCTCCAGCGAGGCTGTCCACCCTGCCCGGCACAGCGTCTGGGTGGTGAGAGAGGGCAGGACTCACACAGGGACAGGGTTCCCTGCCCAGACCCTGCACCTGGCAGGAGCTCGCAAAGGGCGCCCGCCTGGGGTCCGTGTGGGTGGGTGAAAGAAGAAAGAGCCCCAGCCACAGGGCAGGTGCCAGCAGTACCTGATAGAACTCCCGGGACTGGCGGTGGAACTCCGGGGAGTCATGCTGGCCCACAATGACCAGTACACGGCAGGCTGGGCCTGCAGGCTGCTGTCCCGGGGCTGCCTCCAGCTGCTGCTGTGGACTGTTCCTCAGGGCGTCCTCCCTGGGGCACAGGCGGGTGGGTCAGCCCGGAGAGGGGCCAGGCTCCAGGTGGGCTGGGGAGCCCTGGGGAGGGGCAGGAGACTCACAGGGTCAAGTGCAGAGGAGCGTTCTGTGACGTGTACAGCAGGGGCTCCAGGTCGTAGACTCCGCTCACGAGGAAGAAGGCTGTTGGAGGCGAGGCGTGGTCACTGAGCCAGGCAGCGGGTGGATGAAGTCGGGGGCCTCCAGGCCAGAGGGCAGGACCGGGCAGAGACCCTCAAAGGCTGCCAGCCAGGCCCATCCCCGGGCACCTTTAAGGTTGGGTGTGACTCCGTGCTTGGTCCAGTCAGTGAGGAGCATCATGGCGGCCAGGTGGGCCCCAGCAGAATGTCCACACAGGTAAATGCCCCTAGAACACATCAGATCAGACAGGCAGCGTCTTTGGGGTTCACCGGTGTCCTGTCCCTCCCCACCCTCCACCCCTGTGGTCCTGGGAGCATCTGCAGCGACACCCACTGGTTACTCGGATACTGCTTCTGGACAAACGCCACGCTGCGGGCCACCTGGTCAACCATAAGGTCCAGAGTTCCTGCGGAGAGTTCAGGCCAGATCAGGAGCTGCCTGGACTCCCCAGCTCCAGCCGAGGCCTCCTGGCCCGAGCCCTGCAGTGGCCACTCCTTACCTTTGGGAGCAATGTCGTAACCCACTATGGCCACAGCCACTCCCCGGGCCGTGAGCGGGCTGACCATGAAGGCCGACTCATCTTTACTGCACAGAGAGGAGGAGACACGGACAGAGAAATGACCACCGGAGGCCGCGGGGCTGGTCCAGGCCGAGCAGCACACAGCACCTGGGCCACCCCGGGCTTGCCACACCGCAATGACAGGAGCGTGGGGACTTGGTTCAGCTCCATCCACCCAGCAGGGACAGTGCTGTCCCCTCCTGGGGGCAGAGAGAGCTTGGTGGGCCCTGAACATGGTGGTTCCGATGGGCAGAGCTGCCAGATGCCGCTGCCGGGGGTGGAAGGTGCCAAGAGCCCAGAGGCACTGTGAACATGGCCGAGGGGCCGCGGGACGGTGAGCAGGGGCAGGGAGGAGCAGGTGGCCCTGCTGACCCTGGACCTGGACATCAGACTTCCCAGCCACTCACACTGGCTGCGGTTCTTTGCCGGGAGGAACTGCCCACTGCTCCCTCGGCCCACAAACTCCCCGTCCCTACCCACACGCACCTGCCGCTCTGCCAGTACCCTCCGTGGAAAAACAGGAAGACCGGTGCAGCTGGAACACGGGCAAGACTGGCATAAGTGAGGCAGGCTGGGGCCGAGCAGGCCACGTGGGACCTCCAGCCCCCTGCTCACCTGCAGACATTTCCCCCGGGAAGTAGAAGTCCACTTTCTCCGCCTCGCCCGCTCCGTAGGGCACGTGCAGCTGGCTCTTCCTGGTGGCCCGGGCCCTCGCAGTGGCTGTCATGGAGGCAGACAAGTCACAGCCGGCACAGGCCAGACAGCCTCCCTATGCCCCGGGGTGGGGATGGTCTGCTGACAGCACCCTGGGGTGCACCTGTCTGTCTCTCACTGCCTTCCAAAGAAATTAAAATAACTCACAAAAAATGGTTTAAACATTTTCATCAAGCTCTTGTATTTTACCACATAATCCAAATGTTTTTTGAGCAAACAGGGACAAAAAAGAGGACAGGTATCAGGTTAGAGAGCCGCCAGCCCCAGGCAGCTGTCTCTGGAAGGCAGAGAACTCTCCAGAAGGTTCCAGCTCCCTCTGACTCCCTGGGGCCTCGTTCAAGCCCCACCAAGCCACCAGTGGATGAGCTGACGGCCGCTCGTGCGGGTTCCCAGGCCCCGAGTTTCTCTCAGCGAGGCCTCACTCCTGTCACTTCTCCCTTCACTCTGCCGTGTGGGGCCTCAGGGGCCTGGACCCACTGCGGCCACCCTGGGCCTCACCATGACCTGCCGAGCAGGGCCTGTGCACCTGCCCCCGCCTTCCTCCGGGCTGTGCAGCCTCCGGATGGCCCCAGGTGGCGGGCTCACCAAACGCTTGGCACCTGACCAGGATTTATAGCTGCCCTCTCAGAACCCCACTCCTCCAGGCACCCAGCTCCAAGGCAGTGCCTGCTGACCCTTCCTGCCCACCCCCACGTGCTGAAGCCGCGGCATGGGCTGAAGGCGACGGGAGGCGGCTGCAGGGGTCCCAGCAGTACCCTGGACTCCCATCTCCGAGTAGGTCCGCAGGGCTTCCTCTGGTCCCAGGCGGACGACCCATCTGCTGGGGGAGTATTGCTTCTCCAGTTCCTAGGAGACACACAGGGCTCCCTAAGATCTCCAGAGGAAGCCCCCCCAGACCGTTCAGCCTCCATAAGCGCTCCGATCCCCAGCCTCCTCGGTGCTTGGGGTACTGAGTGCTTTAGACCATGGCCTGCAGGGACAGAGGGCATGCACAACCCCAGGAGGCCGGGCGGCAGGCAGCCAGAGAGCAGATGTCCCCAGAGACGGAGAATCGATTGCAGGAGGGCATGGCACAGGGTCAGGAGCAAGGGTCGCCCAGCGCCCAGTGTAAGATTTGAGCCACACCCAATGTTAAAAGCAGCAGATTTTGCAGCAACGACTGACAGACAACCAAGGTGGGAAGCCTGAAGACACCGTGGAGCTGGGGACGGTGCCCCAGCAGCCCACCTACCTCCGGGGTCAGCTTCTTCCAGGAAGCATCACGCAGACATGCTTGCCCCAAGACAGCCATGTCGCCATACCAACCGGGAGAGGCGGCGCACGCCCTTTTGTATGCTGTGGGCGGGGCGGCGGCGAGGCCCCGCCCAGCCACACCTGTGACAGGCCACGCCCACCACCCGCGCTTTCAGTCACGGGAGCGGGCGGCCGTCGACTCTCCCGCCGCTTTGGCCGGGCGCTGATTGGCTCCTCCGCCCCGCCCGACAGGCCACGCCCACCATCCCCGAACCAATCACAGGGAGCAGTCCGGCGACTCTCCCGCCGAGCGCTGATTGGCTCCGGGGAGAGCGTCGCCTGCTGATTGGCCAGCGCGAATCCTGTGCAGGCGGGCGGCCCGGGATGGGCGCGAACCTTAAAGGTCGGGATTTCTGCGGTTCCCGCGATCTTCCCCAACGGCGCCATGAGCTGCATCACCTTGCCCTCCGTGCTGCCCGGCTCCCCCAGCAAGACCCGGGGCCAGATCCAGGTGCGCAGTCCGGGGCCCGCCCGCCGGGGTCGGGATGGGGCGGCCGCGCCCCGCGCCCGGCAGTGACCTGTCCATCTCTCCTTAGGTGATCCTCGGGCCCATGTTCTCCGGGAAAAGGTAAGGAGTGCGTGGCTCCCGCATGGCTCCCGCGGCCTGCAGCCCGGCCCGCGCCTTCGCGCCCTGCCCGGCCCCTGCCCCTCCTTCCCCGGGTCCTTCTCCGGGTCCTCCTCGCAGGGAGAAGGCCATTCCCCTTCAGGATCGCCTCACCCCAGGTACCCCGAGGTGCAGGCAGCAAAGCTGTGGGGTGAGACCTGATGCTGCCACTCGTCAGGCCCCCAGGCCCCCAGCCCTTCCCGGGGAGGTGGACTCCTGGATCGTGCCCTTTCCTGCCGGGAGGCCCGCTTCCCGCTGCCAGAGGGCACCGGCGGCCTGGGACGAGGCTGGGGTGCTGGCTCACCCACCGTCTGTGTGTCCCTCTGCCCGCAGCACGGAGCTCATGAGACGGGTCCGCCGCTTCCAGATCGCCCAGTACAAGTGCCTGGTCATCAAGTATGCCAAAGACGTCCGCTACAGCAACAGCTTCTGCACACATGACCGGTCAGTCCCTGTCCTGGGGTGGGGGGACATCCGGGCACGGAGAGGAGCGTCAGAGCCCTCCCTCAGGGTGACCGTGCGGGTCCACCACTGGGAAACTCCGAGAACCCAAAACGCACAGGCGCGGGCACCGCAGGGGCTGCCCCGTCCCCACCCCACCGTGCTTCTCAGAAAGACAGCCCTTAGGCTCCACTGCAGTCTGAGGTTGTCACGGGCGGGGGACAGACACACACACCCCTGCGGGGGCGCAGGACAGCCCCCATGGCGAGCTGGCCCGCACCCTGCTCTTCCCAGTGTAGCATCCCTCTGCCTGAGCCCTGTGGACATGCTGGCCTGTGGCCTCGAGTTGCAAGTTAAATTTAGCCCCTTGGAAGCAGCTCTGGGCTTGGCGTGTCTGAGTCCGGCCTTGGCCTCAGCGACAAGGCTGTGCCCTGTTTCAGGACCCCAGCGGCAGCCCAGTGGGGCGGCTGTTGGCAGTGCGGTCTGGGGTGCCAGATGAGTTGGGCGACTTGGCCATGTGGCTGATCAGCCTGCTCGCTGGCTGCTTGTTTACTCGTTGCTTCCTTGTCCCTAAAGCAGTGTCCACTGCATGGTGCTGTGTGACAGTCACAGGTGCAGCTTTGGTCCGAGCCCTGCCACATGGCACCAGCTCCCTCCGAAGTGGCTCCCGGTGCTGGGCCGGGGCAGGTTTCAGAGACACCGCACTCACCCTAGTCACCACTGATGCCTGCCCTCCCTCCGGTCCTCTGTCTAGGGAAAAGAGATTTTTTTAAAAACTTATTTGAAAGGCAGAGAGAGACATCTGTTCTCTCCCCTAAATGCCTGCAGCCGCCAGGGCCGGGCTAGGCTGCAGCCTAGTGGGCGTCAGCCGTCAGCCCCTGGAGCATCATCTGCTGTTCCCTTAGAAGCAGACCTGGGACTCGAACCCTGGCACTGCTCTGCAGCACATGGGCCTCTTAATGACACAGGGCCTCAGACGCCTGCCTAGAAGGGTTTGAATGTGTGCCGTGCTGTGTCGTGGTCTTTGCAAACCTGGGAGCAGATTCCAGCAGAATCCTGTGATGTGCTGTGTGTTTGATGACGACAGCCACGACGTGCCAGGCCTTGGGGGAAGCTCCTGCAGGCTGGCAGGGAGGGGCAGGCAAGCGTAAGGATGCTGGCGGCTCCTGGGCAGGCAGTGGGCACAGCTGCTAGAAAAGCTGGCATTCCGTGGCATACTTCCGCCACACTCTGCCGGAACGAGCAGGTCTACGCTCGGGTTTGGGGATCGGGCTGTGTGCACCCAGTTAGCTGCCTTAACCCCTGCTAACACCAGCTCTGGGAAGTTCTTCCAGTCAGCTGCCCCACGGCACGGGGTCCCAGGCTTGTCTCCACCGGGTGGGTAAGCCTCCTCTAATCTCACTGTCGGGTGCACCTGACTGGCCAGGGTCGCTCGGCTAGGTCTTGCACGTGTCTGCCCTTGCAGGCGCCTCCCTCCATTTTGGTTTTGTTTTGGTTTTCAAGTTATAGCTAATGGCCACAAAGCTATGAAGACGAGGGCCGAGCTTTGTTTATTTAACCTGTACCGTCTAGAGGAAAGTTCTGTTGGTTCTGGGGTGTCTTGAGCACGCCTCTGGTGACACAGGGTCTCAGCTGAGCTTTATGCTAGGGTAATTCAAAAAGCTCACAAGAAAATGGAATTCAATGGTGCCTTTGAGGACGGTGTTGTATAAGCCTGCAGGGCCGGCGTGTGGACACCAGGAAGAGTCCAGCTGTTCCGCTTTCAACCCAGCTCCCTGCTCAGGGGCCTGAGAAAGCAGCCGGGAGCGCCCCAAGTGCTTGGGCACCTGCACCCATGTGGGAGACCTGGCTGAAGCTCTTGGCTCCTGGCCGTCTGGCGTGAACCATCAGATGGAAAGATCTGTAGGTTCTTTTTCTACAATTTTTCCTTTCAAAATTTTTAAAGGTTTATTTGGATGCAAAAAAAGTTTGAGTCTGCATAGCCATCTCAGAATAAGCTTTTTCCAGGAACTTCTTGAAGTTTCTCTCGTATTTATGTATTTGAAAACTAGAACAGCAAAGAGAAGGAGAGACGGAAAGCTCTCCCTGCCCCTGGCTCGCTCCTCAGACTGCCACGGTCGCCCGGGCTGGGCCAGAGGCAGACCGGGAGCTGCGTGTGGAGCGGGGATTCACGTACTTAGGCCATATTGCCTTGCTTCGTCGGACGCATCAGCAGGGAGCTGGGTCAGACATGAAGTAGCAGGACTTGAACTGGCGCCACAGGGCTCCGTGGGAGCCGTTCTCTGGCCCCAGCATTCCGACTCCGGGGCTCTGCCTGGCTCACACACCCTCTCTTCCCAGGAACACCATGGAGGCGCTGCCTGCCTGCCAGCTGCGGGACGTGGCTCAGGAGGCCCTGGGCGTGGCCGTCATCGGCATCGACGAAGGACAGTTTGTAAGTGCAGGGCGCTGGGCGCTCCCTCTGCTGGTGGGAGTGGTTCTGGTCCAGGTCTCCTGTGGAATTGTAGCTGGAGCATTCCTGCTTTGAAGCAGTCAGGAATGGAATGGTTCCAGGTGTGGGGGCAGGTTCTGGAATGTTCGCTCAGACCGTACTGCCCGGGCACTCCTCATGCAACAATTCGAGACCTGACTGGACTGTGGGTGCGCGTTGCAGACGGGGGATTCTGAGCAGGGATGCTGGCCCTGCGACAGACGGCCAGCAGTGTCCAGAACTCCCCACACGCCCTGCTGCTTCCGTGCTTTCCTGCAGGGGGCGTCCCTTTCCCGTGAGCAAATGCGGTTTCCTAACCCGGCAGCTGGGGCGTTTGGTTTAGCTCATGGTTGCTTCCTGCTTTTTCTGTGTGTTTTCCTTAAATTTTAAAGTTAAGGAGTTATTTATTTGAAAGTGGAATGACAGAGAGCAGGAGGACAGAGAGAGAGGGATTGTCCGTGTGCTCCAGGGATGGAGGGTCCTGTTCTTTCGCCATCTGAGTTTTTTTTTTTTAAAGGTTTATTTTATTATTTTTTTATTGGAAAGGCGGATATACAGAGAGGAGAGACAGAGAGGAAGATCTTCCGTCCGATGATTCACTCCCCAAGTGAGCACAACGGCCGATACTATGCTGGTCCGAAGCCAGGAGTCTTTTCCGGGTCTCCCACGTGGGTGCAGGGTCCCAAAGCCTTGGGCCGTCCTCCACTGCTTTCCCGGGCCACAGGCAGGGAGCTGGAAGGGAAGCAGAGCTGCCGGGATTAGAACCAGCGCCCATATGGGATCCCGGGCATGCAAGGCGAGGACCTTAACCACTTGTGCCACTGTGCCGGGCCCAGCCATCTGAGTTTTTATAACCTCATCCGTGGGCGGTCCGAAGCAATCAGCTTTAGAATGAACCTGCTATGGGTTGATTGTCCCAGCTGTGCTTGCCTTAGCAAGGTCAAGACCAAAGGATTTCTCGGGCCCCATATGGCCCACAGCTGGCTAGTCCCCACCCCAGGCTAGTTCGCTCTGCAAGTAGATGAGGCTGAAGCCAGGAACTCCCACGGCGGCAAGGGCCCAAACACCTGGGCCGTCAAGCACAGCTGCTGGAACCCAAGTGGGCAGTCCGACACGGGATGCTGGCATTGCATGCATCAGGGCAACCGCCTGTGCCACCTCACTGAAGTGCAGCCTTTTTTGGACACTGGTACCCCCTCCTGGGTGGCCCAGCTGGCTGTGCTGTGGCTCCGGTCACTCGGGGGTTACTTCCTGTGCAGGTAACGTGTCTGGGGGAGGGCAGTGTCCTTGCCTATCCTGTTTCCTGTAGCTGCTGATGTGTGATACTTTTTCTTGGCATCAAAGCGTTTGTCCCTAAGCGAGGTTTCGTTGGTGCCAAGAACCGGCATGCGTTCCTCCGGGCTTGTGCGCCCAGGCTAGGCCAGGGACTTCCCAGCTTCTCAACCGGGATCTCGGGGCGTCACCCTGACCCGGACACCCCGCCGTCCCCCAGCTCGGCGTCACACACAGGGCGTCCTCACACCTGTGGGCTCTCACAGAATGTTCCCCAAACCCTGCTGGGGGGACCAGGAACCACCGCCAGTGCTGCTGTGGGGTGCATGCAGCATTGTCCAGCTGAGTGTTAAAGGGACAAGTAAAATACACAGGTGGGCCTCCCGTGGGCTTTGTGCTGTTGGTTGTTAGGACTGCACAGGGAACACCCAAGCCAGCCGGAGTCAGAGACTGGGATCATGCAACCCTGGGTTCAGTCCTCAAATGGCTCCAATGGCCAGGGCCGGGCCAGGCTGGATTCCCAAGAGCATTAGCAGGGAGCTGGACCCGAAGTGCAGTAGCTGGGAGTGAACTTGCCCCCATAGGGGATGCCAGTGTTGTAGGTGGCAGGTTAGCCCGCTGTCCTATGATGCCAGCAGGATGCCACCTCTTAAAAATAATGTTCACACTGAAGTGGGCGAGGAAGGATTCCTGCCTTTATAAATGTTTCTATGGGCTGGAGCGCTGGCAAGAGGGGTTAAGCCACTGCCTGCCACACCAGCTTCTCACATGGACACCTACTAATGGGAAGGCAGCAGTAGATGACCCGGTGCCCACGTGGAAGACCCAGACAGGGTCTGCTCAATGGCCAGGTGAGGCAGGTCGACCAGGAGCTGCATCGGGTCTGCCCTGTGAGTGGCCCCGGGAAATGGAGCAGCTGGGATGTTGGTACCCCGGGCAGCTGCCGTTCACACCCCACCTTGGCAGTTTTAAGTTTGCTCCCAGTCTGGTAGGGGCGGCGTGCGTGGGCTGCTGTAGCAAATGTTCTCTAAGCTCTGGTGGCTTGGCATGGTGGGGACTTGAAAGAAACGCATTGTCGAGTAAAGAAGTGGTGGTCTTCAGGCACACGGCACAGTAGACGCTGTTGCCTCGCCCGTACTCCTCCGTGGCTCCAGGCCACGTGACTGCGTGGTCCTCTTCCCCACGGCAAACACGGCACCTGGGTGCAGGCCACGGCAGGTGCAAGACAGGCACACACAGCACTGTGACCTGTTGTGGCCTGGAGCCCGTCACTGCAGTCTTGCTTGGTACTCAACACGTTTGAGCTTTTTTATTTTTTTAAGATTTATTTTATTGGAAACGCAGGTTTACAGAGGCGAGACAGATCTTCATCTGCTGGTTCAGTCCCCAGAGCTGAGCTGATCTGAATCCAGGAGCCAGGAGCCTCCTCCAGGTCTCGCATGCAGATGCAGGGTCCCAAGGCTTGGGGCCATCCTCTGCTTTCCCAGGCCACAAGCAGGGAGCTGGACGGGAAGTGGAGCAGCTGGGACCTGAACCAGTGCCCATATGGGATGCCAGCTCTTGCAGGTAGAAGGTTAGCCTGTTGAGCCACTGTGCCAGCTCCCGGATTCGGGCTTCTGGCGAGCGGTCACCTCTCAGTACGGAATCAGGCAGCTGGGGCGGTGGTCTCCAGGCCTGGCTCTATGTGCACGCTGCATCCTGTGGTGAAGCTGTCAGTTCCCCGCCCTGCATGGGGCCTCTGTCCTGTGAGGTAGACCCCCACAAGGTCCTGGCACCCTTCTGTCTCTGTCTCCCCACATGCTGTCAATGGCTCCAGGGGCGTGGGGTCAGCTCAGGGTGTGGCCCTCTGAGTGCCAGCTGGCCCAGCTCTGTACACCTGCCTGCTTCCTGCCTGGCACAGGTTGGCAATGTTTGTTTTACTCACTGTGAAAATATTGCTAGCTTCCTGTGGGTCTGTGTCCAGGATCTGAGCCAGACGCCGGCCCAGACCCCAACCAGAGAGCCAGAGGCTGGCTCGGCATCCGTGCTAATCCGTAACTCCGGACCAGTGCTGTTCTGGCTGCTTCGCAGAAATCACTGGCATTGGGGGGGTATTCCTGGGGAGACCCCAAAAGCCACAAGACAAAGGCACGATGCCAGGGGGAGGGGAAGCAGCTGGCTCCTGGGTCACCCCAGAGCCCTAGAACCAGCTCCCTGACTGGGCCTGTAGGAGGCAGTCCTGTGCTGGTGTCTTCCCAGGGGACACGGGAGGGACCAGGAGAGGGTGGGTACCTAGCCCTGTGTCTGCTCAGACCTGCTTCTTCTTAAGATTTACTTATTTGAAAGGCAGAGCTTATCTCTGCTATCTGCTGCCGGATGGTTGCAACGACTGGGGCTGTCCCAGACCCAAGCCAGGTGCTTCATCCGGGTCTCCCACAAGTAGCAGGGGCCCAGGCATCTGGGCTGCCTTCTGTGGCTTTTCCCAAGTACATTAGCAGGGAGCTGGATGGGAAGTGGAGTAGCGGGGACTTGAACTGGTGCCCAAGTCCATGCACTCATGTAGAGATCCAGAGGAAAACCCTGGCCCCTGGCTCCTGGCCCCTGGCTCCTGGCCCTTGGCTCCTGGCTCCTGGCCCCTGGCCATTGGCTCCTGGCCCCTGGCCCTTTGCTCCTGGCTCCTGGCCCCTGGCCCTTGGCTCCTGGCTCCTGGCTCCTGACCCCTGGCTCCGGCCCTGCGCAGCTTCAGCTGTTGTGGCCTTTTAGGGGGAGTAAACCAAATGAATGGAAAGATGGTTCTCTGTCTCTCCTCTGCAACTCTCATTCAAATAAATGAATTTTTAAAAAAATTAAAAATGAATTTGAGAGGTACAGGACGACAGCTCTTCCATCCGCTGGCTCGTCTGCAGACGGCTGCAGCAGCCAGGGCTGGGGCCGGGGGCATTCTGAAGCTCCGAGTGGCGGTGGAGACCCACGGCTTGAGCCCACCTTGCCTGCTGCCTCCCAGCCTGCACAGGACGTGAGTGTCCCCGCGGACGCTGGAGCCACGGTGCCAGCACACCTTGAGCTCGCACGCCTTTGCCCATGTCAACCAGTTCCCACACGTGACATCCAGGGCGACATCTGTCAGCAGCAGGTCGCAGGGCTGGGATCACTCATTGGGTACCAGCGGCACACAGCCGACCACAGCCAGGCAGCCTCTGTCTGCTGTGGAAGCCCCGGATGTCCAGCGGCCCGCGTTCCTCCGTTGCGTCTCTGGGAGTCCGTCACCTCTGCCCAACTCTCCGGGGTTTGTTTCGTTTTTAATTATTGTACTAAGCACCTGGGAGTTTTTATTAGACACAAAGAGAGTTCCCACGCGCTGACTCATGCACCGGATCTCTGCAACCAGGAGCCGGAAGCCTCTTCTGGGGTGCAGGTCCCCTGTGCTGCTTTCCTAGGCCACAAGCAGGGCACCCCCGGGCCCTATAACAGCCCTGACTGTGCTGGATGGGAACCGGAGCTGCCCGAACTGGAACTGCGCCCGTACGGGATGCCTGCCTTGGAGGTGGCAGCTCTACCTGCTGCGCCACAGCGTCAGCCCCCAAAGGTCCTTTGTTACGACGACAGATCACTGGGTTGGGTCCCTGCCTTTGGTTACCCCTGGGAGTGAGGTCACGTGCTGTGGTGGGGGGTGGGACTTGAACGCTGGACCACGTCAAGGAGAATATAACCAGGCAGCCAGGTGTGCCAGAGGAGCAGCGAGCAAGTGAGGCCTCCTGTGTGAGCTGCCCCAGTGCCCAGTGTCAGTGCCAGGCACTTCCTCCAGTGCCTAGACCTCGAGCTCTGGGCTAGACGCCTGGCCCATCTTACCTGTGACTCCCTTTCCATGACCCTCCAGGTGCCCACAGGGTCGGCTGGACCGATGCGCCATCACAGGTGTCCTGCTGCATCCGGCTGGCCACCTGACATGGCCCTAGACCGAGCGCATGGGCTTCCTGAGGGCAGCGTGGCCGTCAGGTGGTACACAGGTCACACAGCTCAGGGCCTGGCAGCCTTCCTTGGTGTGGAAACAGTCCCAAGGCACAATGCCACCACAGGTCCAGACAGGAGGGACCTCCCCACCCTGGACCCCTCGTGGGAAGGGGTGCAGCCAGCTGTGTGACCCCAAGGCCTTGGAGGTGCTGCCCCCAGACCTGGCCACCTCCTGGTCTCCGGGGTTGGGGCTCTCCTGGGTCTGAGTGGTTGGCTCTGGCAGCTGGGAGACTCCGGGAGGCCACTGCTCACTGCCCTCGCCCTCTAGTTCCCCGACATCGTGGAGTTCTGTGAGGCCATGGCCAACTCCGGGAAGACCGTGATCGTGGCCGCCTTGGACGGCACCTTCCAGAGGAAGGTAAAGTGTCCTGGACCCGGGGCAGGGCGCAGCAGCCCTGGGGGATCGTGGCTGGGCTGCCCAGAGTGCTACACGCTGTGGCTGGCAGGGGAAGCAAGGCCAGGCCTGGCTTCCTCACGTCCTCCTGCCATCTGCCCACAGGCGTTTGGGTCCATCCTGAACCTGGTGCCCCTATCCGAGAGCGTGGTGAAGCTGAACGCCGTGTGCATGGAGTGCTTCCGGGAAGCCGCCTACACCAAGCGGCTGGGCATGGAGAAAGAGGTAGCTGCCACTGGACCCCTGGGACAGAGCGGGGAGGCCCCGCACGCCCAGTCCCAGCCCCCCACACCCGTGCTGCCGTGTCGCTCTGCCAGGTGGAGGTGATCGGTGGAGCGGACAAGTACCATTCCGTGTGCCGTCTCTGTTACTTCAAGAAGTCCGTGGGCCAGTCCACAGGGCTGGACAAGGAGAACTGTCCAGTGACAGGGAAGCCAGCGGAGAGCGTGGTCGCCAGGAAACTCTTCGGCCCTCAGCAAGTCCTGCAGTGCAGCCTCACCAACTGAGGGGGCTCCCCGCCACGGCCCTGGCGGCAGTCTGGACCCTACCTGCTGTGGCCTTCCCAAGAGGAAGCCAGATGGCAGGGCAATGGGCATGGCCACCATCCCCCCGCCGGTAAGGCCCGCCCAGCCAGAAGTGGTGCTGCCGGGGCTGCCCACGACCCCAGTGTGGCCATGACGTCCTCAGCCTCTTCCCCCTTGCGGCTTTCACCCTCAAGTTTCTGTTCTCCCTGGAAATTTCCCCCAGCACCTTCAGGACTTGACCCCTCTGCCTGGGGGATGGGGGACTTGGACTTGGGGGCCCTGGCTAAGAGACCACCCTACTACCACACAGGGCCCTTGGTGGCATGGGCCCCAGGAGGGTATGGCGGAGGAGCCAGGGTCTGCCCTTTCATCACAGCAAATAACAAACATTAAAATCAGCTAGCTGGGGCCCGGAGGTGTGGCCTAGCAGCTAAAGTTCTCAGCTTGAACGCCATATGGGTGCCAGTTCTAATCCCAGCAGCCTGCTTCCCATCTAGCTCCCTGCTTGTGGCCTGGCAAAGCAGTCAAGGACAGCCCAAAGCCTTGGGACCCTGCACCCGCATGGGAGACCTGGAAGACGTTCCTGGTTCTCAGCTTCGGATCGGCACAGCACCGGCCATTGCAGCTCATTTGGGGAGTGAATCTTCGGACAGAAGATCTTCCCCTCTCTTTCTCCTCCTCTCTGTATATCTGACTTTCTAATAAATAAATAAATCTTTTTTTAAAAAAAAAATCAGCCAGCCGGTGTGGAAGTGCTTCTGTGTGACCCAGGACTCCTTCCCCGCTGATGGGGGTTCCCACCAACCTCTTAGCAGGCCACTCCCCAGGGCACTGGGAGGCGTGGCCTACCGCTGCAGGTGCTGCTCCAGGTACCCACCCCCGTGGCCAAGTGCCTGGGTTCACGTCCTGGTTGGCTTTCAGCTGCAACTCGCAGATAACATACCCTGGGGAGGTAGCAGGTTGCTGGCTCCAAAGCCTGAGTCTGCCACCCACCCAGTAGTTAGGAACCTGGTTCCAGCCTGGCCAGCAGCTGAGAGATTGCTTTTTCTAAGAAAATGGGTGGGCAGCAGCAGCCCAGGGCTGGCAGGAAAGCTGGCGTGGCTTCAAGCCTAAGGCTTGGCCAGGAAACGCCCGCAGCTCGAGCCAAGTACTGCCTGGCTGGGCCATGCAGGCCAGAGGCCAGGTACAGACCAGGGGCACCCGCTACACGTGGCTATGTTCCGGGGGTCCCCCAGCTTCCCTCTGGCTGTCCTCCCTGACCTGGGACCCTGAGGAATGGCCACACAGGGTCTTGAAGTTCACCGCCCCATCGTGTGTATATTTGGGATTTCGAAACTGACCATGACTGGCAGCTCCGTCGCTGCTCAAAAGGGGAAGTGGGGAGCAGTTACAGGGCGGGCCCCAGCCAGTCCCCCAAGTGCCGGGAAGGGTGCAGCAGACCCTGGCCAGTAGGGCAGCCCAACACAGTCCATCTGTTTACAAGCTGAGTGCACCTGCTATTTTAAGCAGCTGATGGAAGGCCAAGTGAGGATCGGGCAGGGACCAGGGCTACAGGACAGGATTCCACCTCTGATTGGTTCCAAACCCGAGGACCTCCGGAGGCCAGGCCCCAGGGCACGCCTCCCAGCCTGACCGGGGCCCAACCAAAGATGGTGGAGGCAGAATGAGAAAACCTTTTAATTCATCTGCAATTCAGTCTAACAGAACTGGAGAGCAAGGGGGCAACCCTGGCTGGGTCCACCCTGCCCAGCTCCCTCAGGGCAGTGGGGGGATATTTACATAAAGCTGGGTGTTATCAGGCAAGGGGAAGCGCTCTCTGAGCAGCCAGCGATGGGCTCCAGCCCTGTTTCCCAGCCCCATGGCTGTCAGGAGGCAGCCAGCGATGGGTGGCACAGGCAGTGACCCAAGGGTGCAGCATTGAGCACAGGCCCAGTGTGGGCCAGGGTACGGAACCTGAGTGAGCAGGCCAGGGCCCAGCACCAGCCACGGAGACACCACTGCCGCCTGCACTTTGTCTTTGGCAGAGAATTCTATGTGCAGAGGTGTGGCCTGGGCACAGCAGTGGTCTTCCTGTCTGGGGCTGCCCAGGCGGGGCAGCGTGCTGGGCGGGGAGCGAGGAGGTCCCTGGAAACAAGAAAACACAGGCAACTAGAGACCTTCTCCTAAGACAAAATGCCGTGGGGAGTGCCTGGGGGCTGCCAAGCCTCCTCGGGCGCAGGCACTTGGGTGGGATCCGCCAGCCTCAGCCAGGGTTCCAAAGGGCAGAGGCTCTCCAGGAGGCAGCAGGGAGTTGGGGTGCCCCTGGATGCTGCTCAGTAAACGGGGGGCGGCTGGTAGCCCTCGCTGCTCTGGGCGTTCTGGGTGAAGGGCGGCTGCTGGTAGGTGTCCACGGACGCGCCCGGGTAGGACGCATAGGTGGAGCTCGCGTCCGGGCTGGGGTCCACGTAGTTCTGGATGAAATCATCCACTCCTGCCTTATAACGCTGGTAAGCCAGTGAGGCCAGCACGCCCTGCGAGGAGACACCAGGCTCAGGAGGCGCAGGGAGGCGCCCGCCCCGCCCCGGCCTGCCGCCAGCCCCCATCCTCACCCACGAGAAGATGGAGAAGAAGCTGAAGGCGATGGCCGCCCGCGCCGAGTCGGCCCCCACGAGCACGTCGTCCGGGCTGGTGGCCGCCCACTGGTTGGTGAGGAAGCAGAAGCCGACAAACCACAGGAAGGTCCAGAGAGCTGGGGAGAGGACGGGGCAGGAGAGGTCGGCGCCACGGCCGGACAGCACAGCCTGCACGGGGGTCTCCCTGGAGGCCTGGCACCAAGGTCCTGCCGCCCGGGAGGCCCGGCAGCGTCGGCCAGGGTGCAGAGGGACCCCCACAACCCGCTCGGCCCCGGAGCGGACGCCACGGGCAGGCACCTGAGAAAAGCAGGTCGCCCACGACCAGGTACTTGCGGTCCGTGGCGTTGCTGATCTGGGGGAAGTAGGCGTCGATGACGAAGAAGAAGGCGGAGGCCAGGAAGGCCAGCACGCCGATGGCGCAGCCGTAGCGACACGCATCCTCGTTGTGGTTGAAAATGCAGTAGAGCTGCTCCGAGTGAGAGGTGTTGCTGTAGCCCTCGCCAAAAATGCAGGAAAACACGATCAAGGCGAAGACCTGGGGGCGGGGGTCCGGGTGGTCAGCAGGGGGCCGGGTGGTCAGCAGGGGGCTGGGTGGTCAGCAGGGGGCCGGGTGGTCAGCAGGGGGCCATGGGGGCCGGGTGGTCAGCAGGGGGCCGTGGGGGCCAGGCGGTCAGCAGGGGGCCGGGTGGTCAGCAGGGGGCCGTGGGGGCCAGGCGGTCAGCAGGGGGCCGGGCGGTCAGACACGCCCTCTCCCACTGCCCCTCCCAGCCTCCCCCCAGCAGGCAGGCGGCGAAGCTTGGTGGTCATTCCCCACCCCCCAGCAGGCCCCTGCCCTGGGGATTCCCAGCCTGGGGAGAGATGGGATGGCCGGGGATCTCCTGGGCGGGGCTGCCCCTGCCCTGACGTCTGCCATGGCCCCTCCCAGTCCAGAATCACTCAGAATGTGGTTTGTTTTTAAGGCAGCAACGTCACCGATGCCCCAGGCTCAGAGTCTCACCCACCCTGACTCCACCACTGTCCCCCGCGGTCAGGTGGATGCCCCAAGCTAGGCTTGGCTGCCCAGTGACAAGGACTAGCCCCTGGCCCCCTCCAACCCTGTCCAAGCCGGGGCTGGCCAGTTTTCTGCTGCAAGGAGCACCCACATCCCAGCCTCTGCCCTGGCACCAGGTGGTCAGTCTCACACGTGGGCCTGGGCTGGCAACTGGGCACTTAGACCTGGCAGGCAGGGCAACGGGGAGGTGGGCAGGGCTGCTGACCAGCCCATGTCCTCCTCATCTCCACAAACTCCAAGGCCCTCAGCCCAGGAGGCGCAGGGCAGGTGTGCGGCTCTAGGCCTGGCCCTGCCCTGGCAGACACAGGCTCCACCCTCGGCTGCAAATCAAGCCGGAACTCCGGATGCAGGCTGGGAACGCTGTCCCACCACCCTCCTGGCACCGACATCCAGCCCACAGGGGGCAGAGCCCAGACCCCCCAAAGGGCTGGGAGGGGGTGGGGGACCCCTGGAAGGCTCCAGCCTCAGCAACCCGCTCTCGGTCCGCCCTCCACTTGCCCACAGCCAGCTGCTTTCCGCTTCCCATGGCAAGTTCCCTGTCCCCCGCCTGGGGACCCAGGGTTGCAGGACTTGCTTCATGGGGGCCCCCATGCCTCGGGTGGGCCGCAGGCCCTCCTGCCCTCCACAGCCCCCACGTGGCTTCGAAAAGCCCCCTCTAGGTGATTCCCCGACTGGGAGCCGGGGTGTGAGGGCCACCTGCTCTGGTGCGGCCCTCAAACTCCTCCTCCTGCCAGCAGGGCCACCGGCCTGCTCCCCAACGCACCTCCGGGATACTCCGCGCCGGACACGGGCCGGGTGGGGGGCTGCACACGCCACGGGGCCAGAGGGGAACAAGGCGGCCAGCCCCGGGGCGAGGAGGGCGAAAGGCGGGGCCCAGGACGCCGGCCCCACGCGCGCCGCCAGGCCCGGGACGCTGGGCCGCCGCCACCTGTCGCGCCCGCCGCCCCGGGGCCCCGGGGGCGCAGGGGGTCCCCGAACGGCCCGCGCCCGCCCGCCCGCCGGCTCACCAGGCACACGGCGCGCGCCAGCACCTGCGGCTGCGCCAGGAAGCGCCCCAGGTCGAAGGAGCCGCCCGCCTTGGCCGCGCCGTAGGCCCCGCTCTCCATGTCGCCGCCGCCGCCGCCGCGGATGGCCGAAGAACCAGCCGGACCGCCCGGCCGCCCCGCCTCCGAGGGCGGAGCCGCGCCGCCGCCAGGCCCGGGCAAAGGGCGGTGCGCGCCGAGGGGCCGGGCCGCGCCGCTGCGCCCCGCCGACGCTGCGCCCGCACTGCCCCGCGCCCCCGACGCCCCGCGCCCCGCCGACGCTGCGCCCGCACTGCCCCGCGCCCCCGACGCCCCGCGCCCCGCCGACGCTGCGCCCGCACTGCCCCGCGCCCCCGACGCCCCTGCGCCCCGCGCCCCCGCGCCCCGCCGACGCTGCGCCCGCACTGCCCCGCGCCCCCACGCCCCGCGCCCCCGCGCCCCTGCGCCCCGCCGACGCTGCGCCCGCACTGCCCCGCGCCCCCGACGCCCCTGCGCCCCTGCGCCCCGCCGACGCTGCGCCCGCATTGCCCCGCATTGCCCCGCGCCCCCGACGCCCCTGCGCCCCGCGCCCCCGCGCCCCGCCGACGCTGCGCCCGCACTGCCCCGCGCCCCCGACGCCCCTGCGCCCCGCGCCCCCGCGCCCCGCCGACGCTGCGCCCGCACTGCCCCGCGCCCCCACGCCCCGCGCCCCCGCGCCCCTGCGCCCCGCCGACGCTGCGCCCGCACTGCCCCGCGCCCCCGACGCCCCTGCGCCCCTGCGCCCCGCCGACGCTGCGCCCGCATTGCCCCGCATTGCCCCGCGCCCCCGACGCCCCTGCGCCCCGCGCCCCCGCGCCCCGCCGACGCTGCGCCCGCACTGCCCCGCGCCCCCGACGCCCCTGCGCCCCGCGCCCCCGCGCCCCGCCGACGCTGCGCCCGCATTGCCCCGCGCCGCCCCGTGCCCCGGACCCCGACGCCCCGCGCCCCTGCGCCCGCACTGCCCCGCGCCCGGCCCCCGACGCCCCGCGCCCCTGCTCCTGGCCGGGCGAGCCTCCCCGCGGTGCAGCCTGGACGGGCAGGGGGCAGGGGCGGGTGTAAAGCAGTCCCACCCACACCGCCACATGCACAGGCTGCACGGGGCCAGGCTGCGGGTGGCAGGGGGACAGGCTGCGGGTGGCAGGGGGACGCCCTGCGTTTCGCCTAAGGCGAACCGCCCAAGGACACGTGCACCAGGGGGGTCTGTGCGTGCGCCCACCCTCAGGGAGTGCGCTGAAGAGCCTGAGAACTGACGCCCAGGGCCACCAGCTGCGGGGGGGGGGGGTCCTGCGCCCACCGGGAAGAAGGGAGCAAGTGTGGGGTCAGCCAGGATGGTCAGCCGCGGGGCGGGCTTCCCATTAGCACCCCCTCCCCCGCAGGCAGACGTTCCCTTTGTTTCTTTAAAGTTTTATTTGCGTTACAGAAGGAGGGAGAGGCAGAGGTGTTCCTTCCTTCCGCTGGTTCACTCCCCAAATGGTTGAGCCAGGCCGAAGCCAGGAGCCGGAAGGTCCACCCCAGTCTCCCACACAGAGGCAGGGACCCAGGTACTCAAGCCATCCTCTGCTGCCTTCCAGGTGCACTGGCAGGGAGCCAGCGTGTAAGAGGAGCAGCTGGGACTCGAACCTGTGTCCACAGGGGATGGATCGGCATAACCCAGTGCTTTTCATTGGATGAGTTTTATTGTCGTGTTGAGGGTTCCCGGGGACAATGGAGGGGCAGGTGATGTCGTGGGCTCACGTGGCCGCACACGTTGGCGTCCAGAACAGCTAAGAGCAGCAGGTAGGGCGGTCTCCACCTGCTCCTTCGAGTGTTGACTACTTCCTGTGGCCCCTCCCAGCTGGGCTTCAACTGCTTCTGTAGGGCGGTTGGAGGGACAGGGATGGGGTGCCCCAGGACTCTGCCAAGCCATGTCTCCGTCACAACCTGATGACAAAGGAATCGGGGCCGGTTGGACGCGCTCCCGGGGCCAGACCGGGAAGAGGCCTGAGGCTCTGACCCTGAGTGGACACACCCTGGCCCCGCTCCCAGTTCAGTGGAGCCAGTCTCTGTTCCCATGGTACAGAAGGCAAGACTGAGTCCCTGAGGTGCAACGCCAGGAACAGAGAAGAGCCTGTGGAAGGTGGCCAAGGGGACAGGGAAAGTGGGGCACAACAGTGTCCACCAAGTACCTGGGACTGGGTGACGCAAAGGCCTGGTCCCCTATGGCAGGAAGCCCTGGCCTTGGAGAGGGGACCCTGATTTTCACCTCTGGGGACAAACTGACTCAGAGTGGGTTTGCCCAGAGAAGACAGAAGCTCGGGTCCTCCAGAGGCGTCCTCCAACCCGCGGGGAGCCAGAGGCCCGCTGAGTCCTCGGGTGCAGCTATACCACTGGGAGGCACTGGCACAGTCGCCCTTCCTTCCCCGCTGCCCCGCAGGCTGCCCCTCCTCCCCTGCAACCTGCTGCCCTCATGCCCTCCCAGTCCGCCTGCGCCCTACCTGGTCCACATGGTCCAACCCAGCATTCCGGAAGTGACAGCTGTGATGGAGGCAAGGCTGCCAGCCAGCACCATGGCGGGGCCCTCGGGCAGCTCCCCTGTGAGGCAGATGACAGGTGGCTGGGGCTTCCCTCTGCCCAGAGCTGTCCACTGCCCCCTCCCCTGCCTGCCCCTTACCTGGCGGCAGTAATCTGAAGGCACTGCTCTGGGCGCCCACAGCGTTCTCGGCTCGGCACTGGAGCCAGCCTGACGACTGGGCCAGCGGGACGGAGAAGTTGGCCGGCTGCCCGGGGGGCGGTGTGTGCTGGCTGTGGATGCGTCTGTCCTTTCCCACCAGACTGTAGGAGATGGGGGGGCTGCCCGAGGACGCCCAGCAGGACACCCCGACCTCAGGGCCCGAGCCTCTGTCCTGCAGGACGAACACAGCCTGTGGCTGGGACACGGGCTCTGGATGGAGGGAAGGGTGCAAAGCCAAGTTGGGGGCTTTGAGATTCCTTGCTGACCAGGGTAAGGGCAGGGAGCTGGCAGTGGGGCAGGGTGCTGCTTTTGCAACCCTAGCACCCCTTGTCAAATCGCCAGTTTAAATCCTGGTGGCTCTGCTTCTGGGCTAGTTCGCCGTGATGGCCCTGGGAGAAGAGCAGACGGCCCCTGCCCTCACGTGGGGAACCCAGAAGGAGCTCCTGGCTCCTGGCTCCTGGCTTCCACCGGGCCCAGCCCTGCTGTTCCAGGTTTCTGGGGAGTAAACCAGCAGATGGAAGCTCTCTGCCTATCTCTTTAAATAAATAAATAAACACATTTTTGTTTAAACCACACACATTTAGCAAATAAGAACAATGAAAGTTTTTTAAGAAGTCCCATTTCCTGGGACTTGAGCCTGTCTGCCGCCTGCAGGCAGTCAGGCAGCAAAGCCCATACAGGTTCACATTTGGGGCTTCTTAAATTCAGTTTTTAGGGCCCGGCGCCATGGCTTAGTAGCTAAAGTCCTCACTTTGAATGCGCCAGGATCCCATATGGGCACCAGTTCTAATCCTGGAGGCCCCGCTTACCATCCAGCTCCCTGCTTGTGGCCTGGGAAATATATATATTTTATATATACAAAATCTGCCTTTGCAATAAAAGTAATAAAATACATTCAATTTTTATTAATTCTGTATTTAAAAGACAGAGAGAGAAAGTCTCTTCCATCTTCTGGTTCATTCTCTATCTGCAACAGCCTGGCGCCAGGGCCGAGTCAGGAGGAGGCCTGGAGCATGGAGTTCCATCCCAGGCCCTCACCTGGGTGTCAGGGGCCCACTTCATCGGGCGTCACCCCTGCCTCCCAGAGGCAAGGCATCCACGGAGAGCTGGGCTACAGGCAGGGGCGCGATCCAACCCAGGGCCTCTGCTGGGAATGCAGAGTTCACAGCGGTACTTTAATCCACTGCACCACCTCGCCAAGGCCCCCGCACATTCGGTTTATCATGTCACATTGCCAGGCTCGTCCAATAAAGACCCAGGTGTATGTGAGGCAGGTCCTGCACACCCGGGGACACCAGGAGTGGTAAACAGCTGGCAGTCCTTTCTGCCCCTCCTCCTCCCTGGAGCTCCCGCCCGTCCCCCCAGCCCCAGCCACTGCTCACTGGCCCACAGCTCCCAGTACAGCCGGAGCCTGGCGCTGCGTGCGTGGGCGCCCAGGCTGGACGCCGCCTGGCAGGAATAGGTGAGCAGGTCCGGGCTGGACTTGAGAGTGACGTTGACAGTGAAGGAGGCCGGCTGGGGAGTCGTCACCACCTTCCTGGTCACCAGGATGTCCCCGCTCCCCCAGAGGGTGTAGGTGACAGGTGGGGGTGCCTGGGGCACGTGGCACGTGATGAGCACGAGGCGCCTTCTGGGGTAAACCTCCAGAACTCGGTAGGCGATGGAGCTCTCCGGGGTGTCTGCTGGCAGGACGCGTGCTGGAAGGCAGGAGGGAGGGAACCACTGGAGCTGGGCACAGCCTTGTCCAGGGCACGGCGAGTCCACCCCACCCACCCCGCCTCTTGGAGCCACGCGCACGCACACGCCTGGCACAGCAGCCCATGTGGGAGTGTGGTGAGTTGGGGTGGGCTTCGTGGCACAGTGGGCTCAGTTCCTACTTGGAATGCCCGGGACCTGGCATCTCCTGTAGGAGTGCCACAGGCTAGTCCCGGCTGCTCCATCTCCCATCCAGCTCCTTGCTTGCGGTCTGGGAAAGCAGCAGAGGACGGTCCAAGCGCGTGAGCCCCTCGAGTTTCCACTCGGGAGACCCAATGGCGTTCCTGCCTCTTAGGGTTTGGTCTGGCTCCGCCTTGGCCATTGTGGCCATTTGGGGAGTGAACCAGCCAGTGGAAAAGTCTCTTTTACTCTGTAATTCTGCCTTTCAAATAAATAAATCTTTAAAGCGTGGACTTAAAAAAGAATATCTGAGGGATAGAGGGGAGAAAGAGTCTGGGAGATCTTCCACCCGCTGGTTCACAGCCCAGATGTCTGCAGTGGGGCCAGGCCCGACAGGTGTACCTCAGCAGCACTGGGCCTCAAGCCAGGGCCCTGGTGTCAGTGTCCACACGCCGAGCTGGAGCCAGGATCGCTCCCCAGGCCAGGTACAGACTG